AAAGAAAGAAAGAAAGAAAGAAAGAAAGAAAGAAAGAAAGAAAGAAAAAGAAGGAAGGAAGGAAGGAAGGAAGGAAGGAAGGAAGGAACCTCTTTTCCGTTTACGCAAACCGCCTTAAAATATGACCCCAGCCTTCATCACGTGAACTCGGGTAGGGCCTCTCACCCCATCGCTTTCAATCTCTTTACAACCAGCCGCTGCACCTCCGAAGCCAGGCGCCAGGCTCATTCATTCAAACATTCGTTCAAATCTCGCGCTCAACGCCGCCGCCGATCCCGGACCCGGAAGTGTCGCAGCGCAGGTCGGGGCGCTTCGCAGGGCGGCGAGGGAAGGTCAAATGGCGGCGCTGCTGGGCGGGCTGGTTGCTTTAGGCTCCGCGGCCGGCAGGCAACGTGAGTCGGAAAGGTTGGGAGGGCGGAAGCCTTAACTGGGTTGGTGGTGAGCTCTCGGGGAAATGGGAGCAGGCGGCGGCAAACTGGTGGGACTGGGAAGATTCGGGATGCGGCGTTCCAGTGTGTGAAATGAAAAGCAAGAATTCAGAGGGGGGGAAAGGTTTTGTGCTTGGAGCAGCCAATCCTCCCTTCTGCAAATGAGTCAGAGGAATATGATCCTTAGGGATTCATGCACATAGTTTGCAATCGAATAAGCCGCCGATCCTTTGCAGAAATTGGTGCATCCCCGTCCCTATCCGCGCTTAAGAGCGAGCCTGGAAAGAGCCCTATAAGGCTCGCTCTGCTGGGAGATGTTGTGAAGGATTCTACTAAATCCCAATGCTTTTCCTCTCCCTAAGAGGCAACTGGACTTTCTGGTTTTTCTTTGAAGACGTTTCGCTTCTGACCCAAGAAGCTTGTTCAGCTCTGAGTGGATGGTTGGGAAGTCAGAGCTGAAGAAGCTTCTTGGATGAGAAGCGAAACATCTTCAAAGAAAAACCAGAAAGTCCAGTTGCCTCTGGAAAAAGCACCTTTGAGACAACCAAGACCTCCTACATGATTGAGAATCTCCATAGGGTCTACTCATGTTATCTTCTTTGGAGAGTTTGGTTATCTTCCTTGCTGGTGTCACAAGGTGCTGTTTTGTTTGAATGGTGCTATAGGTAGGCCTCATCAGCTTTCAGAATCTAGGTTTTTTTTAGTTCTGGTACAGGTAGTCCTCGATTTACAATCATTCAAAGCTACAACAGCACTGAAAAAAGTGACATGATCATTTTTCACATTTGTTACTGTTGCAGCATCCCTGAGATCATGTGATCAGAACTAGCTCATATTTATGACGGTTGCAGTGTCCCAGAGTCATGGAGTCATCTTTATGAACAATTTGATTGAATAATTGATTAATTAATTAGTTAATTCTGAGTGTTTGATTGTAACCTCTGTGGATTGATACTTTGCTATTTCCATGATTGCTTGCTTCAAATACTGTAAAATTTACCTGTCCAGCATCCATGTCCTAGGTAGGATACTGAGGGTTACTACCTCAGAAAAGTTCACAAAGGTTTTGTTAGCATTTGGTGCTTTTTAGTTATGGTGCTAGCCTCCTGGAACAGTCTCACCAACCTGAACTCTGGAAGATTGAACTCTCATGATGTTTTTTTGTTTTGTTTTACAAAAGCTGTTAAAACTAAACTTAAGCTGTAGTTAGTTCAGGTTGTCTTGAACATGGTTTATGGCTGAATTGATTTGCATTTTGGATTGGGAACTGCTGGCTCACAGCGCATGCTTTTTATTATCACATTAATCATTGGAATCTCTTGCTTTCTTCCCCTTCCTGTAACAGTTTTGCCTGTTCCCACATTCAGTGCAGCTGTGGTGAGGTTTGCATCCAAAAAAAGTGGAGGCAGCACCAGAAATCGTGGAGGGAACAGAACTGGGAAAAGGTACGGCTTCAAAAAATTTGATGGTAAGTTTCTTCACCACTTTACTGCCGTTTCCTGCTTATTATTGTTATTAACAGCCCATCAACAAAAACAACTAAAAAAACATTAATTTTCTTGCTCTTTGCTATTAAGCATGGACTATACCGTTTGAAGGGCCCTGAAGCCATGGCTTTGGTGATTGAAGAATCCTTCCTCTTCCCTTTGTTCCATCCACTTTGGCCATCTTTATTCTTTTTTCATTTTTTTCTTTGTTTTTGAATATTTTTATCAGTTTGTATAGTCTGTATAGAATGGTTGGGAGTTGGGCAACATGTGAATTTAATTGTTATTTTTATATGTTCACAGAAATGTGAGGTCACAGCTGCCAGCTCTTTAGCTGGTGTTGGCCTTCATATGTATTGAATCCTTCTCGAGAACTTAGGCTGTTCTAATGCATCGATAGACAGGTAGTCCTCGACTTACGACCACAATTGAGGCCAAAATTTATGTTGCTACATTTGTGAAGTGAGTTTTGCCCCATTTTATGATTTTTCTTGCCACAGTTGTTAAGTGAATCATTGCAGATGTTAAGTTAGTAACATTGTTAAGTGAATCTGGCTTCCCAATTGACTTTGCTTGTCAGAAAGTCGCAAAAAGTGATCACATGGTCCCAGGACACTGCAACTGTCATAAATGTGAGTCAGTCAATTTTGATATGTGACCAAGGGGATGGTAGAATGGTTGTAAGTGTGAAAAACAGTCATAAGTCACTTTTTGAGTGCTGCTGTAACTTTGAATGGTCATTAAATGAACTATTGTAAGTCAAGGACTACCTGTTTTACAATATACGTGCAGGTCTAAGCAGTGTGGCCTTCTGCGATTGACAGATGGAAATTTTGTCAATGTGTTGACATTAAGTACCTGTTCTGACCAAGGCTTCCTGAGACTGTAATTAAGCACATGCTTAGTTAAAACAACTCTTGTTTTATTTCAACACTGGGAATTATGTTCATTCCCAGCCTGTAATGAGTCCCAAACAGTCCCTCGAGATAAGCACCAACCCTTCTCTCCTTTGAATTGCTGTCAACAACAAAAGTGCCAAATGAACTATAAAAAAACCAACAAAATCCACACAGAGCTTCAAGGATTAATCCAAACAGAATGAACTACTTTGCTTTCTACAAAGGTTTCTTTACCTTTGCCTGTCCTTTATACCTTACGGGAGGGACAATCACCTCCCAGCCTTACTCCCAATTTGCTCCTTTTGTCTCAGCTGCTCTTGCCTTCTAGCAGCTCTGCGCACACGCGCACTGGGAACAGGCTCCCCTGGTTCCTCTGCCTTGCTGCTGCCAGACTCCGAAGGCTCCAGAGTCAGCACCCCATTCCCAGATGGCCCTGGCCCCATCTCTGCATTGGACACAGGACCCTCGTCCGAGTCCTCTCCAGACTCCTGGACCGTTCTTCCCCACTGTCCAGTTCTGCTACCGTCTGCACAGGCTGCCAGCAAACCACAACAGTACCATGTATTAAGGTTTGTTGCCACAGTGAGCCAGGTGTTTAGACTGGATTTGGCATTTTTGACACCTATTGATTCCCAAGGACCTGGGATAGGGAGCTGTTGTTATTTGAAGGTATTAAAAGGTATTGTTGCAGGATGTAAACTGTTCCAGGTAAAGTTGCCTTTTGCCATTGATGAATATTATTTGGCTGTCTGGATATCCTATGTTATGCCTGTCAACTATGAGACAGCCAGTAGGTGGTAGGACTGCAGTAGTTTACTGTAGAATTCTGCCTATTTATTGCAGAATGTAGGGCCACTATTTAAAATTAGTGCTTATATTCTGTACATTTTTCTTTATAATATAACTTTGGGGTAGGGGATACAATAAGGAGAGTCTAAATAAACTGAAATGAGTAAACTGCTGAGTAAACTTGACTTGTAAATTGTGTCAAAATTGTAGCCAGTGATAAACTATTGGGAAACCAGAGGGAAGATGAGGATATTCAGTAGACTACATATTTTTCAGAAGTATCCCTCCAAAAGCACCCCGATAGCAAAAATAACTTTTAAACCAAAAAGCCCTTAGGGGACAAAAATTTACCTTCCAGTCCTATGATTCTATCATTCTCTGATCATGTCCAGAGTGCCTTTTATGAAGTCCAGTGTGCAATGATATATTTGTTTCTCTTTATGTTACTGCATGGTTCCCTTGCTGTAGCATATGCATGGTCGTAGAAATTTGAACATGTGTTTATTGAGAAAAGGAACAGTGTGGGAGGAAAGGAAAGGGGAAAAAAAAAATTAGCAAAGCTTGGCTCCAATCCCCTTGTTCTCTCTAAAGCAGTGCTTCTCAACCTCAGCCTCTTAAACGGTGTGGATTGCCCGGGGATTTTCAGGACTTGGAAGTCCACACAACTTAAAAGTGGCTGAGGTTGAGAAACATGGTTCTAATAGTTAGATGTTGAAGACTGATGTCCAGATGTGTGTGTGTGTGTGTGTGTGTGAAACATTACTTTAACAATAAGATGTTGAAGCAGAGCCCAGATATGAGAGCCCAGATACGCAATTAAAAATAATTGCAAACCTTTTTGGTGTGGGTTGCTTTTGTAGAGCTATACATACATGAAGCTTTAAGGAAATACAGGTCGTCCTCAACTTACAACCACAACTGAGCCCAAAATTTATGTTGCTAAATGAGAAATTAGTTAGGTGAGCTTTGCTACGTTTTACGACTTTTAACATGTTAAGTGAATCACTGCAGTTGTTAACAGTAACACGGTTGTTAAGTGAATCTGGCTTCTCCATTGACTTTGTTTGTCAGAAGGTTGCAAAAGGGAATCACATGACCCTGGGACCTGCAACCATCTTAAATATGAGCCATTTGTCAAGTACCTGTGTTGCAATGGCCATAAGTGTGAAAAATGGTCGTAAGTCGCTTTTCTAGTGCTATTGTAACTTCGAACAATCACTAAATGAACTGTTGTAAGTTGAGGACTTACCTGTATGCTAAAAAGAGTTAAAACTCTAGCCTTGGAAATAAGGAGATTGCTGGAGTGTGGGGAGTCAATAGTCCCTATATTCCCCCCTCCTCCCAATTTGATGCTGTAGTGGTGATGACAGTGATGATACTTACCTTAATTTTTATCTGAGGACAATGCTTGTTAACCTTGACAAATTTAAAATAATGTGAACATCATGCTGGCTGGGAAATTCATGGAGTTGAAATCCACATACCTTAAAATCACTAAGGCTGAGAAACATTGTCTTATATAACACCATTAAGATAATTGAAAGATCACAAAAATACAGGGTTTTTGCAAGATCATCCACTAAATTCAAAGATTCAAGACTAACAAAAGGAAGGTTTTTTTTTTTAAAAAAAATTAATAGTCAGAACAGATGCAATATCTTGTTGGCTTTGCCTGCTCTCAGAATAATCTAAGCAGGATCAGAGGTGCTAATCTCTTCACTGGGAAGACCATCCTTGTCAGGAAATGTCAGCTGTAGACTGGACCGTGGAGCCAGAAAAATATCCCAGAAGATGCTATTGGCAAAATCTGTAATACTCATGTAATATTATTATTTTTTTTTGACAAAATGTACCTGGAGTTGCTAGAAATCAATTTTGACTTGAGGAACTCCTTCCTTTTTAACCAAAAAAGTATGTTAATTCCACTTAAATTGAATATGTTGCAATCAGATGGTTATGGTTGGAGATTTATACCACTGTAAAAATGGGGCTAGAGCAGGGGTCCCCAACCTTGGCCACTTTAAGACTTGTGGACTTCAACTCCCAGAATTCTCCAGCCAGCCTAGCGTTGAAGTCCACAAGTCTTAAAGCGGCCAAGTTTGGGGATCTCTGGGCTAGAGTTATCAATAGTCACTAATCTTGACGGTTGCTTGGTGTCTCCAGAATTTTCAACAGCATTCCTGACATATCAGCTGCTTTGTGGGAACAATGGAAAAAGGTGCTTGCCCTCCTTGCTAAATTTATAAACTTTGTTAGAGGTATCTGTTGGAGGGCCATTAAAGGTTGGACTAAATGATGCAGGCTTGATGCAGTTCACCATATCCTTATATGCTTTGAAATCCAGTTCTCTTGTGATGGGATAAAACATGGTTGAAGAATAGGAAGCCTGACTTGACCCTAGCATTAACAAAACCTGCAAGGTCAGAGTGCAGATGGGATTGCGAGGAGATACATGATGCGGACAATTTAGGACCACCCTGGGGGCTACTTGAAGCAAGCCAATGTATGGTTCCTCCTTTGTTCTAAGTGTAACATTAGTTTAAATCCTTAAGGAAGTACACAAGATGTTGAAAAATAGTTTTTGCAGTAACAAAGCTGGATAACTTTTCAATGGTTTTACTAGGTGTTTCTTTTTTAAGCCGGAAGAGTTTAACTTCAGTGGATGCAAATTTGGCTGCTGATTTGCTCCATTTGGAATGAACCAAATCAGAAGTGATGTTGGTTGATCTTGACTCTTGGTGACTATATAAGACACATCTATATCATTCTCTTGACTGAAGAGGTTTGTCAATTACCTTCCTCCAAGATGTTTGCCAAAGTCCACATTCCCTGACATTCCCTGATGGTCTACATCCCCAAACACTAATCAGACCAATCCCTGAGAACTTTGAAACCCAAACAAATACGAGTCCCCAAACCATCAAGTTATATTGTTTAGTCCAAGATGGATGAGTCATTGTCAGGACATTGACATTTTGGCTCTGTAATGATGCAGAGAGGACTTACCTTGTGTCATCCTGTTCAAGGTAATCAGTAAATTGCACAGCCAGAGCCCAGATTTCTTCATCCTTCTCACACAAATACAAAACACTTCAGTGCTATCATGAACCTCTCTTCCCACTTCCTATTTTCCCACTTAGTTTAGCAGCCCTCCTAATTTTGTCTTCTCCATAATTCCTCTATGATAAGGATCTTTAAACTTGACAAGTTCAAAATTTGTGGACTTCAACTCCCAGAATTCCTGAGCTAACATGACTGGAGGAGGAATTCAGGGAGCCGAAGTCCACAAGTCTTAAAGCTGTGAAGTTTGAAGATCCCTGCTGTTTGAGGAAAGCAAAGATGTCCCCATGAGTCCTTGTAAATCAAACTGTGACCACAGATAAAGTATTATTATAAACCATATTACATTGGGTTATAAATAGTTCTTGACTTAAAACGATTTGTTTAGCAATTGTTTGAAGTTACAATGGCCCTGAAAAAAATTGATTTACCACCAGTTCTCATACGGCCTCCTAAATGTCTCCATGGTCAAATTTGGGTGTTTGGCAACTGGCATGTATTTATGATGGTTGCAGCATCTCAAGGTCTTGTGATGCCATTTGTGACCTTCCCAGCCGGCTTCCGACAAGCCAAGTCAGTGGGGGAAGCTGGATTAGCTAAACAATCAAATGATTCATTTAATAACTGCAGGGATTTTCCTAATGGTCATGGCAACAAGGTTGTAAAATGGAGGCACCAATCACTTGACGACTGTCTTACTTAGCAAGAGAAATTCTGGCCCAAATTGTGGTCAGAATTTTGGTTGCTAAGTAAGACAGTAAGTCAAGGACAACCTGTACTTGAATGTGGATATTCAGGATTACCGAAATGGAACAGTTGCCCTTCTTTTCCTCTTGGTAATCTCAAAATGGCAATCTACACTAAATGAAGTGTAATTTGGTGCATTAATGTGTGAATTGAGGCTATTCTGATAATCTGTCAAGAAAATACTTTGGATATGTGTGGAATGATCTTATTACTAGAAAGCCTCAGTCAATAAAATTAGGGGTACGACTCTCGAGGCTTGAGTCTCAGATCTTTCACCTTTGCCCTCTTCTGCAACGGGTCCTATTTCGTGAGAAGGAATGTTAAAGGAAGCTGCGTTGTGCTCCATTTGTATTCAGCTAAAATGCATTCAAGCTGTCTTGTTTCTGAGGTTTAATTACTTTCTTTAACTCATTTGCAGGACAATTTGTTCACGCAGGCAACATATTGGCCACCCAGCGTGTAATCCGGTGGCATCCGGGTGCTCACGTAAGATGTTCTCTTTGTTATTTCAAATACCACTTAATTAAGACCTCATTCCATTTTTATCAAAACATCTGTTTCCTTGTCTTACTCTAAATTATCCTGGAATTTTTCATTATGGTCTGACAAACCTCTTGGCCTCATATTTATCATTTTCCAAGATTCTTTCTCTCTCAGCTGAAACCAGAATAAAATCCTTTTTTTTTTTTTTTTTTGGTTTCTCTTGCTATAAAAATAATAACCAGAAACTGGAGCCTCTCTCTTACCCTGATTAGAGTTTCAGGTTTTGAACCGCCTCTTTATATTTAGTAAAAATTCAGATCCAGTATAGTTGCAGAATGAAATACAAGAATGTCAGATAGTCTGGGAATCCATCCTCCTAGCTGGGACACCCCCTTCCCCCCTATAGAATACCTTGAGGTCAAGAAAGAACATAGGAAAATGCATCATGATGCATCGGATGACTTTGACCATCTGAGGGGAAAAAAATCAAGTTGTGGAAAAGAAAAATAATGAAGCCTTTCTTTACATTGAGCCACAGCACAACTTGCATATAGCTTTGTAATCCGTGCCTTCTAAAGATAAATGCTTGCTTACCCAGAAGTAGCTGGGCAGAATATCATGTAACACTGGGCTTGCTGGAGATACCATCTTTAAGACCAAAATTATCTTCAGCCGCTTTTGGGTGTGAAGAAATCAGCTGTCACTCAACATTTTTGGGTTCACAAGCTGACATTCAACTTATTCAGCCTGCCGGAGAACCAGATTCAGGCTGAATGGGTTCAACTGTGATGTTATTAAGCCTCCAAAGCACGCTATCAGTTGTCAACATAAACTGGGAACACAAGGAGCAAATGCAATTGGCTTGTAGAGAAACAAATTACTTTCTACATCCCATAAGCCAGGCATCCTGGGTTACAAGTATAAACCCTACCAGAGCAGGGATTCTGAATTTAATTTGCAGAAGTTGTCTTTTATTTCTGCAAGTAGCTGGAATCCTGCAGTCTTACTTTGACATCTTTGCATTACGCTGTACCATTCTGATGATAGTGATGTCTTTCTTGCACAAGCAGTTGTGCTTTAGCACACAATTGGCAAACTGTACCAGAGTTTGAGAACTGCTGGCAGTCCCAGTGATAGGCACAGCCTGCGCTCTGAACCAGAGCCTGCTTCTTCCCTTCTTTAATTAGGATTCTGTCTTATTGACCCAGGTGGGGATGGGATGCAACAAGTGGCTGTATGCTCTTGAAGATGGAGTTGTGAGGTATACAAAAGAAGTCTACATACCGCCTGCCCGTGGCAAGGAAAGCCGAGAAGTGATCTGCCAGTTGCCCAAAGGAGCTGTGCTATATAAAACTTTCATCAATGTTGTTCCTACCGAAGCAGTGGGAAGTTTTAAGCTGATCACCATGATCTGAGAGCTAGTTCTGAATGACTTTTGGTTAGTCCTCTACAGCTGGGAACGAAGCAATATTTGGAGCATCTACAGCATATCATACAGAGACATCGTCTTAACACACACCTCTGATGTTCTGCGGATGAAATAAAGATTGATAGTAGTTCTTTTCCAAAGCACAACAGTCGTACTACTGCTGTTCATTTTGGAGGAACTATCTCGAGCGAATTCTTTATTCTTGGGGTAAAAGTAGTTGATGCAAGTAGGTTTCCAATGTAAGAGTGTCCTTGAGTATTCTCAGCAGATTTTATGTCTACCTGCAGACATGAAGTTATTTCTTCCCAACTTCACATCACAATCTGGGTACAAAATGTACATGTAATGTCATTATTTGTACATGATGCCACTATGCACACAGTGAACTTTTGCAGTGTTGCCTGCTATGTACCAAACATGCCATAGATACAATCTAGCAGGAAGTTCCTGTCCCATCCCAACTTACTCCTTATCCAATGTGTCAAAGCATTTATCGATTTTAGATAAAATGGAATTTCTTTGGTGTTCACTTGGCTTAGTGAATGGTGTGGATCCAGCCAGGTGGTTTGAAAACCATAGATTACTGCATTACACGTGAACCATAATTACGCCTTGGAACTAAGTATGGTTTCAGTCCCAGGTATATAGCATATGACTATTTGGGAAAACTTTATAACAATACATAATTCGAACTTTATTGCAACAAAAGGAGGAAGCAAGACAACTTGATTGCTTTAGACTATAAATTTGACTTTTATGGTCCCTGTGTAGAACTTTTCGTCTCTAGATAATTTTGCTGTTAAGACTCCTTACTTTGAAATTATTTTACAATGGTGACTGGTCTTGTCGCTATTAAAAAAAAAATCATGTCCTTAATTTACAACATTGCAATTCCAGTCCTTGGATACATTTCTTTGTCCCTGTGACCAACTGAAGAAGGAAAAAGCAGGTGACCTGGGATGCAGGCCACAGCATAGCATAGGCAATCCAGATTATGGATGGGATGGAATGAAATTCCATGGCAAGGTCTATGTTTCGGCCTGCTTTCACCCATGAAATATGAAAACTTAAATGCCTGTGCCTTCAGGTAGCCACATACAGTTCTAGTACACAGGTGACAGCCTTCTTTGACCATTAGCTAAGTTTCCTGCGGCCTAAGAAGTTAAGAGGTTAAATATCTGAAAAGTGCAAGAGAGGCTGTTCCTTTCTAAACCACATACATTATTTAGCCAGTCTCATACTTTGTTGGCTTCCTGCTTTTTTTTTTTTGCTTGAAAAAAAAATATATATTGTAAATTTAGGGCTTGTCTTCACTGGAAAAATAAGTCTGTCTAATCACCTGGTACTATAGATCGTTAGACTATGAAATGCAATAGTGCTAGCTTTCATGTGCATTACAGGCATGAATTCTTCCATGTTTCATTGACAAATGAATAGCCAACACTTTCACATATGCCACTGATCCCAAAGCAAGCAAGCCAGATTTTGACTTTGGGTGTTCTGGGAACTCAGTCAATGAATGCCACAGCTAACCCCAGTGAGGCGAGTTGTCTTAGCAGATTTGCTTCTCTCTTAAGATCTGGTGTAAAAATGAGTCTGACTGACTTCACATATCCCACTTGAGCCAAATTGTGATTCTTCAATAGGTCATGGTGCCTGGCTTCATATTGCAATCTGAGCTGAAACTCATTTATAGCTTAATGCAATGCGTGAAACCAGCAAACTGGAGGCCCGTTGATGTTAGCAACCGTGCACTCCCTAATCACCGTCATTTCCTCCTGTTTTTTATCTGCAGACACGTAGCTGTAGTTCTAACTAAAGTTCAAGTAAATCATTCAACAGGCTATGGAACTCAAGACAGTGATTAGCTGTATAAGTACTGCACGCTAAGCTGCAGTGTGATTTCTTTGGTTTTTGGCTAACTGGGTCATGGCCTATTCAACAAACCATGGATAAAACAGGTTTCATGCAATGTATGAACCTAGCTGTTAAGGGGTGGGGTGGGGTAGGAGCAAGGAAACGTAAATGTACTACAGCTATCTCTATGTGTTAGCCATTTTGAGTGTTACATCGACTGTCTTTAAAATAAAACCTGAATATAAATATACCTAAACTCACATCTGCTCTTTTCAATTTCACAGACAGGAAAGGGTAAATACGGAACTTCATTCTGGTAACTTACATGCTAGACTGGAAAGCAATCCCAAGCATTTCCCAATTAGATTAATTTTCAATGATGGCATTAGGAACATTTGGTGTGATTATTACTCAAACACAAACAAACAAAAACCTGTCCGCCCCTCTCCCAATCCAAATAGCAAATTAGATTTTAAGTTTATCAAGATTGTCTGAGCTCCAGCTGACAAGCAGAATAAACAGTTCTGGTATACAGCTAGGTCTTCCCTTTCAGGGAAGAAAGAATTTTACATTTTGACAGGTAACTCTGTTTGATATCAGTTATGGCTTGGCTGAAAAACAGGCTATTTGTATTTCAGTTGGGGAAACGTGAGACAAAAGTGCCAGACTTGTCTTTTACTTAATTCTGAACTTGTTCTGGATCTGCAAAAATGGCTCCCACCCTGTCTTCAAAAGGGGGAAAAAAAAAAAAATCCCACCAGAATTTATCCAAAGAGTTCATCCGCTGGTGTAGATTGGTGAAAATAGCCAGAGGGTAAAATACATTCATTGTGTCACTTGAAGCCCCGGATGGTGTCCTGTGGATATAGTTCTATGACGGCTAAAAGAAAATAAAATGTTCGGGTAAATATCTTGAAAGTTTGGCAGCTCTAACAGAGGTACTTTTTAAAAAGTGGAAAAGCTGCTCTATGGTCTCAGAGGGTGGCCTTTGAACCAGAAATCTTTATCTCTTTAAAACAACAATCAGGGAAGGTTCAATCGATGGCTTTAATGTTTAGTTCCTGGGGATCAAACTGAAATTCCAATGGTGTGTCTGCTTGATTTACTCTTGCAGCAAGAAGATCATCTGGAGATACCTGGGAAATGGTCTCTGGGCCAAAGAGTGGCAATATTTGGCTGGCTGGGGAATTCTGGGATTTGAAGTCCATACAACATAGCCAACCAAAGTTGAGCAACACTGCTGTAGGCTGTTCTTGTTGGAAGTTTCTTTGGGGGTCTGACATTAAAAAAAAAGAGGAAGAGAAGCTGATCAGAACTTCCCTAGGGCAATTTATTCCACCAGGATGAGCAAATGTTTGTCTTTTAAGGATTAGTTCAAGACAGCAGTCCCAAAGCTGTAATCGTTGTACGGTGGGGTGGGGATGAGTTAGAACATGGCTTGCTTTGCAACAATGCCGGAGAATTTCATCCCACTTCCTCAACATCAAGGTTTAGCCGACTGCCCTGCAGAAACGAAAGCGTTGCCCAGTCTGTGCCATGGAGAGTGGAGGACTCATTCCCAGCCTACACCGAAGTGTTCCTCTGAGTCTGGTAAGTGGGAGAAGCTTGCAGCATATCTGGCAGGCTCTGCCTGGTTGACAATTCTGAGCCGGCTCCGGTTCTTGACAAGGCGGCAGGATACCTCAAGGCCTGTTCATAAGGGGGCGGTAACTGTGAAGAGAAGATCAGGAACACGGTATATTTCCTGCCAACTGAGCCTCACACTCCATGAAACAATTAGTAGAGGGGCAACATATTCACCAGCCACTACAACCAAACCTTAGATGGGTGACAAACGGGTGGGATTCAAATTTTTTAACAACCGGTTCTGTGGGCATGGCTTAGGTTGGTGGGCATGGCTTGGTGGTCATGTTATTGGCTGGGTGTGGCCAACTCAATATCACTCACATTGAGGCACGCATCTCCTCGCCTGGCCTCTTATGACTTGGGGGATGCTGCAACAGACGTAAGTGTGAAAAATGGTCATAAGTCACTTTTTTCAGTGCCATTGTAACTTTGAATGGTCACTCCACAGACGTTTCTGAGACAGGAAGTCTAGTCCTGCCAAGAATGTAATAAGGATTAACGGAGAGGCAGTTTGTATAACCAACACCAGAATGCTTCCTTCCTGCCTTCCTTACAGGATTAGGCCAGTAATTTCTTCTAACAACTGGTTCTCCCAACTGCTTAGAATGTTAACAACTGGTTCTAGCGAATAGGTGCGAACTGGTAGAATCCCACCCTGGTGACTAAGGTGAAGACTGAGGCAGATATGAAGAAAACTTCTTACAATTATTGAATGGATTTTATGAAAAAGACTTGTTTGTAAACCCAGGTTTACTGACTTGGGCCTGCACATATTGTGCTAAGCCAAAAGAATTAATGGGTGCAGGTTTGATGCCAGGACCTCAGTACAAGAACAAAACAATATTAGCCTATTTCAACTTCCCAGGATATTCCAGTACAGATCTCGGAGTAGCTGTCTTTGCCAGCACAATTGACTGAGCAGCTGCTGAACTGACATGCCTCAAAAGGTTTCAGGTCATCTCAGAAAGCCTCAACCCGCCCAATGATTTTTTTTTTTTAAAGGCAGTTTTCTGTAATTTGTCTGTGGAAATTCTCAGCCATCCAGGTCATAGTTTTCTGGTCTTCAAAGAAAAACAAGAAGGTCCTAGTTGCCTCTTGAAAAAGCACCTTTGGGTTTTCTGTAATTTGTCTCAATTATAATCTGTACCTGCTTTTAACCACCCTGTTTTCAGGGGTGGGTTCCTACCGGTTCGGTCCAGTTCTATAGAACTGGTAGCTCCAAAGAGCAGCTGACACCAAACCAGTTTGCTGGGATGAGGTTTTGGTCTGCTGTTTGGCCTACCCGCCTGTCCGGGCTCTAGGCTGTCCTTTAGTGGCTGCGTTTTCCTCCTCAGCTGCTTTGCACGGCACAGCTGAGTGCCTCTCATCAGCTGGAGAAGGTAAACGCTGGAGCCGGTCGCGTGCACGCGCTTGCAGCATGCATTTGATGCACATGCACGCGTTCCCCGAACTGGTTGTTATGCCAATCAGATCCCACCCCTGCCTGTCTCCCCACCCAAATTGCACTCCAATTTAAATCCTGTGTTAATGTAGAGACTCTGAAAGTGAGCTGTAGTTCACAAAATTTGAATAAGACAGGTTAGTCTGAAAAGAGTTCTCCTGATTGTTGGTTACTACAAGCTAATCAATTCTCTTAAAATAAGCCAGACCTTTTTCAACATGTTTTGTGCAGACCCACTCATTATGTCTAATAATCCATGGTTTATGGTGTAAAGCAATGGGTGAACTCAGCCTTTGCAATGTTATACAAGAACAGTGCAAATGTCATGCCCCTGTTAGAATCTGACTCCGAGGGAGAGGAGGAACAGCTGACAGGGAGTAAGAGTGTGGCTCCAGAGGTTGTGGAGTAAACTGGGGAAGGGCACAGGCCGGCTGGGCATTCAGAGGAAGACCCAGGCCCATCCCCTCTTCATCCTAGGGCACACAGGGAGGAACGGATAAGGGAGAAACGTGGCGTGGTCTACGGGGAAGGAAAGGGCCTTGATTCCCTTCATGGGCTGCAGCTGTGAGAACTGTTTAAAAGGACAAACTGTGCATGGGCCAGTGCTGAAAGCAAAGTGTGAAAATATTTCTAATTTGTCAGTTCTTATCTGAGTTCTGGCATCCTTCCCAGTGTGTGTATTTTGATATCTGTGGACGTCTTCAAGCCCTTATCCTGCCTTGTCTCATTAATTGCTTCAGTGCGGTTTGTGTTGTTTTTTTATTTATAATTTATATGTATTTTGAGTGTGAATGGAAGTTCTTCCTTTTCGCAACTGTTGGGGTGGGGGGTGTTTTCCCGTCAATGATAATTGGACCTTGGAAGCCAAGTTGAAGAAATTAAAGGGACTTCACCTGTTTTTGTGACTTGGTAGCTTTTGTATCCCACCCTGGGTCATCACAGCAAACCAGCGCAATGACATTCTGCGTTCTTCCTTCTGATGTAGCTTTCATTTCCATTTCTTTGGTCAGTTCTCTTTGGAACAGAGGCCTATAGTCGCCCTATCGGCTTCTTTACAGGTAGTCCTCAACTTACAACAGTTCATTTAATGACCATTGGAAGTGACAATGGCACTGAAAAAAGTGACGTATGACCATCTTTCACATTTATGACCATTGCAGCACCCTCAGGGTCATGTGTCTTTCATTTGGATGCTTGACAACTGGGTCATATTTATGACGGTTGCAGGATCCCCTTTTGCAACCTTCTGACAAGCGAAGTCACATTCACTTAACAATCATGTTACTAAATCAACAACCGCAGTGATTCACTTGACAACCGTGGCAAGAAAAGTCGTAAAATGGGACAAAACCCACTTAACAAATTTCTCACTTAGCAACATAAATTTTGGCCTCAATTGCGGTCATAAGTTGAGGACTACCTGTTACTTCTTTGTAACCTTTAAAATAAATCATTCTTTTCTCTTTCTTTTTCTATTTTATCTTTTCACTATTTACTTTTCACTACATACTGGTTTATTTTATTTTACTTTTTTTAGTACGTTAGAAATTTTTCAATAAAAATAATGATATGATGTAATTGTAATAAGTCATTCTTACCAGTAACAGGAAGGAAAGATGTGGAGGAGGAACTGGTTGGTCCTATATATTTCAAGCACTGGAAGTGCATATTTCTTATGTGTGAAGTGGGTGTTTGTAAACACGCCAAATGTTTCAAAGAAAATTGTGATAGAATTTTTCCTTAGTTGTTGCAATTAAATTACCGAGCAGCTGAGCAAGTGATACACTGTGCTGAAGCCAATGAAGTAAACTGCAGAGCAGGGCAATACGATAAACATCCAGCTTGCAATATAATCCCCTAGAAGAAGCTTGTCTAGAGTCTTCTATTGGCATGTAAATGTTGTGTTTAAACACCTGTTAGGTAAACTAGGATTGTCATTCAATGCTTTAATTATACCTAAGCTGAGTAATACCAGAACATTTCCAAAATGCTCGGGACAATCATTCTGAACTCCAAATGTCATGTTTTGTACCAGTAGCTGTACTAGACAGTGTTTTGTAACATTTTAGATTCAAAACATTTTGCACACCACCAGTTGCTGGAAGAAGCAAGATTCGTTTTTTTTTTCCTATTTTAATTTCTCACACTACTATTATAAGGCATAGTAAAGACCCTGATGTCATGAATGGGTTAGAGTACTGGGTAAAGAGCAGCCAGAATACATGTCACAGGTGACCTACTGACAAGTTGAGACCCCAGCAATACAGTCCATCTCTAGCTTTTCCTACCTTCCCTCAAAAACACACTAGAAATACTACTTTCCTCTTCCAGGATCCCTTATCTGTATTATACTAATAGAAATAAGAACTTATAGACTTATATACCACTTCACAGTGCTTTACAGCCCTCTTGAAGGGGTTTACAGAGTCAGCATTTTGCCCCCAACAGTCTGAGTCCTCATTTTACCGACCTTGGAAGGATGGAAGGCTGAGTCAACCTTGAGCCTGATGAGACTTGAACTGCTGGCAGCCAGCAGAATTAGCCAGCAGTACTGCATTCTAACCACTGCGCCACCGCGGCTCTTTTTAAAATGATCCCTTATCAATAGTAATATTTGTTTTATCTACATCTCACTTTTCCTTCAGTAAGGAGACATACAGAGGATTCTCTTTTTCTACTTTCTCCACAATCATCTTGTGAGATTGTGTGTGTGTGTGTGTGTGTGTGTGTGTGTGTGTGTGTGAGAGAGAGAGAGAGAGAGAGAGAGAGAGAGAGAGAGCGAGGGACTAGTCAAAAATCACGAAGCGAACTTCCATGGCTAAAGGTAACCCTAACCTGACAAACACTTGAACCGCTCCACCACTCTTTCAATTTCTTCCATAGGTAAGTTCTTGCTCCAAACTCCAAACAGCTGTTTTGAATGGGGGGCTGAAGGAGTCTCACCTGTCTGCCTATGACAGGGTTGTCAAAATGGATTTCTTCAAGGGCTGGATCAGCATTGTAGTTCTCCTCCCTGGGCCAGTCGGGGAGGGTGGGAGGAGATGGGACAGACGCTTCCTGGAGCACCCTGCCAGCCAAAACTTTGCCCCATTTTGGCCAGTAAAGTGCTGCAAGGGGCTGACCAGGCTGAAAATGGAGTGAGGGGGTTGTACGCGCCCCTCCGCACCCCATTTTTGCTAGCAGTGGCACTGCAGTCCTTTGCTATTTCCAAGCTGGCCCTGCAGGCCAGATTTAAGCACCCCTCGGGCCGGATTACTCAAGTTTGACATCCCTGGCCTACGGCATGGCATAAGCCAAGCTGTATCCTGCATACAAATCTCAAGGTTGGAAGTCTCAACAGGTGTCAACTGGACTCGCTTTTAAATAACTGAGAAAGAACTACAATAAAAGCAAATGGCATTCTGTGTCAAGGAAAACCCAATGCAATTACACATTTATCACAGTTTCTCTTGATTTAGGATAGGGTTGGGGATCTGGAATATCAAAATAAGGGAACAGAATGGATTTTGAAAAATGGATAAATCACTCCCTTTTGCATGGATGAATGAAGAAGATGCAGCTGTCCAGATGATGGACTACAGGTTGCATCATCTGCTATTGCTAGCCATGTCAACTCGACCTGATGGGAGTTAATCATCTAGCAAGCTCTGAAGAGTCACAAATTCCCTTTCTGTACTTTGGTGAGTGGCTGCAAGCTGAGAGGAGTCACATGTTCAGGGACAGTTTTGCTTGTAGAAAATGTATTTCAGGTTCCACGTCCTTGAGGTAAAATGATCACAAGTTAAAAGTGGGACGGCAAATTTAACGTGGACCCACTTGGTTTACTTTGAATTACATATCTTTTAGCTTGAAATCTTAACAAGACAGGGAGAAGCCAAGTTGAAAAAAAGGCACCAATTATTTCAGATATCCAGAGAGTTCCCAAGGAATACGATATCAAGATGAGGAGAACAACCAACAATGCTAGAATCTTCATGGCCTGCTGCCCTGCCCAAGGGTGCGAGAGAAGCTGCAGGCAAAACCATATGCCTCTACTGAAACCCCCGGGGCTACATTCACCACGAACCAACCCACTCACTTATGGTTTTAAATGGGCAGATCTCTCATGCACGATTGCCTCCTTGTCCCCTGTAGCTCCTTGCAGAAGACAGAAAGATTATTTTTCAAAAGATACAAGATGAATCATTAACCAGAAAGAATATAAACAAGTGGCAAGCACTGGAGATTCCTGGAACACTCTGTTCCTTCCTCTAAGATTTTTTTTTTAAAAAAAAGGAAAAAAAATGGAGCAGAGTTCCAAGTTATCTCAATAAAAAGGGCTTAGAACAAATTCTATAAACACTTCATCAGGGGAATAATTTTATGGAACCAGATACAAGAGAGATATTTTTCATCCCGAGAGACCATTTCTCCCAATTGCTTACCTCTGGAGAGACTTCTGCCCATAATCCAAATCTATCAGCAATCATCTGGTGGATTTCCCTTTGCCGATCCTTTTTTCGTACACTCTCATAGCTTGGCAGGTGAGGCTGCTCCCACTGTGGAAGCTGATAGCTACTGGGGCTTCCAACACAGAACAATTCATCTCCCTAGGCAAGCAAAGGAACAAAGGTCACCTTTCAAAAGTTTGGTAGGTTTACAAGACATTTTTGCCTACGTTTAGGGTGCATCCACGTTAGGTTTATACTGCTTATTATCAAACAGATACAAGGTCAGAACTGGGGCTAATGTAACTCTATTGTTCTCTTCTTTTCAGAGTCTATAAACCAGCCTAATCCATTAAACTGAGCAAGTATTCAGAGTACTCCAACACTATGCAGCAAGAAGATTGGTACTAATTTATGAGACAGAAGCATTTTTCTTTCCATACAGACTTGTGACCACAATCGAGCTCAAAATTTCTGCTGCTAGGTGAGAGAGTGGTTAAATGAACTTTGCCCCACTTTACAACCTTTCTCGCCACCGTTATTAAGTGAATCGCCGCAGTTGTTAACTTATTAACATGGTTGTAAGGCGAAATCTGGCTTCTTCACTGATTGCCAAAGGTGATCGCATGACCCTAGGACGTTGCAGCCCTCATAAATAAGAGCCAGTTGCTAAGGGTCCAAATTTTAATCACGTAACTGGTGGAGGTTCTGCACTGAATATAAAAAATGGTCTTAGGCAGGGGTGGGATTCAATTTTCTTAACTGGTTCTATGGTCATGGCCTAATTTGTGGGTGTGGCTTGGTGGTCATGTGACTAGGTAGGCGGGGCTTGCTGATTGGGCATGGCTTGGTGATCATGTGACTGTCTAGGCATCGCTTGTATGTAAATATTATAAATATTTATATAAATATTGATTTTTTTAAATAAAAAAGAGCAACTTTTACGCAAAATCAGGCAAAGCAGGCAGGTAGATTGAGTTGCTCACAGAATCACAGATTCACTTAGAGATCTATGATTCTGCAATCTGCTACCTGTGTCTGCACTGAAAAATAGAAGCTTCAGTCCTAAGGAAGGTTCTGCTCTGCTTTTAGATTAGCTAGAAAGCAAGAACTCCAACGATTTTCCTGCTGGCACAGCAGAATAGCTGATGATCAGGGGGAAAAAGGAAAAATAGCAACTTACCAAACCCAGGCAAGTTTGATGGTGTGCATGCCAGGTAAGGAGTGAGTGGGTGGGAGGGGAGGGGCCAGACAGTGGTGCGATTTGCCTGTACTCTTAACTGGGCAGAATCATAACAACCGGTTCTATAGAACCCGACCGACCAGGGAGAATCCCACCCCTGGTCTTCTTAGGTCACATTTTTCAGCACTGCTGTAACTTCAAACCATCACTAAACAAATGGTTGTAAGTTGAGGACTACTTGTATACCAGCTATACGTTGCCATCTTTCTGTGAGGATTAAAAAAACTCCGAATTTTTTAAAAAATTACGGTGGCAAATAATGATCAGCTTCGGGGGGGGAAAAAAAGCAAGGAAGAAGATTTAGAGCCAATCTTTCCCATGCGCATCCAATAACATTATTCCTGATCTGTGTTTCATCTGACTGCAGGGAAAGAATACATGTGCGTGGAAGACTTCATGTGGGGGAAGAGGGGTTGGAGGGTGGGGGGGAAACAGGGTGGCATTCGGGCAATGACAGATAGTCCTTGACTTATGACCATTTCGTCCAGCAACCATTTGCAATTAGGATTGCGCTGAGCAAATGGTGGCTACAACCAGTTCTTGGAGTTCTGACCATCCCAGCACCCTTATGGTCCCATGATCGTGATCTGAATAATTGTCAACTGATTCAAACTTACAATTAGTTTCAACACCCCACAATCACATGATTGCCCTTTGCAACCTTCTGTGCTGGCTTTACCAGTAAATCAATGGGGAAGCCGGCAAAGAAGGTTGTAGATTGCTGGTGTACGTCTTACCCACCCACGAATATTCGCCCAAGTTTCTTGGTGCCAGCCACTCATGCATCTCCCTGCACCCTTCTTGAGCCTCCTGCTGTACTCCTGCACATACACTCCAACCTTTGCTGTGCTTCCCTTGTAGCCTCACTGCCCCACATCCTTGCGTTCTGTCTCCAACCCTCAGTGTATCTTCCTTGCACACCCCCATGCACTCTCCTTGAGCTTCACCTCCCTCTCACCCTTGTGTACCTCTGCACACCCTCACAGGTCCTCACCATGCCTCCCTCACATCCTTTGTGTACCCTCACTGAGCCTTGTTGCATCTCCCTTGCATCCACTCTGCCGATGGCCATGTCTCCCTCATGCCCTCCCCCACTCAGCAAAAACCCATGTATCTGCCTGCTGGCCTGGAACTTGCAACTTCCTGCTGGCTTCTCCATGCCCTTGGAAGAGTCGGATTCTGAAGGAGAAGAGGAACATAGGGAGTGGAGGTGTGGCTCCAGAGGTTGTGGAGGAGGCTGGGGAAGGGCAGAGGCCAGCTGGGCAATCAGAGGAAGAACCAAGCCCATCCCCTCTTCATCCTAGGACACGCAGGGAGGAATGGAGAAGGGAGCAACTTGGCTTACGAGAGAGGAAGCGGCCAAGATCCCCCTCATTAGTTGCAGCTGGGGAGAATAGTATATAAGAGAGACGGTTACAACACAGCGTTGCCAGAAGCAAAGTATGTTTTATTTTGGGCTGAACTTATCTTGGTTGGTGTCCTTCTAACAGACTGTGCCTTGTTATCTCCTTGAAGTTGGTAATTATTTATCCTGATCCGTTGTGGAATTTCCTTCATTGTAGTTTGCTTTGGTTTTTTTTATTTCACCTCTATCTGCTCATTAAGTTCAGACTGTATTGCTTTCTTTTAAAGACTATTTTTGAGTAAGTTTTATCTCCAACAGAGAATTGTTGAACAGTGGGGCCAAGTTGGAGGCATTAAAGGACATTTATTTACGTTTTGGATTTTGTTACATTTGTGTTACACTCCGGGTCATCACATCTACTGACTTAGTCGTGAAAAGCTGGCAGGAAGCTGCCTCATCTAATGACCATGGGATTCAGTTAATGATCACAACCGGCATTGGAGGGATTGCCATCGTTAAGTGATGGGTCGCACTTTACAATTGTACCAGTGAACAACAGAAATTCTGGCCCTGATTTCCATCGTATCTATAAAGATGACATGCCGCTCTTTAGAAAAATTGCATCTCATTGTTTGCCAGAGAAGAAATTGCCAACTAGTTCAGATGAATGTGGAGAATGGCTGTCATATTAATATGGTCATATTAAAATATTTTTTATTTAGCAAATTTATATAGACGCCCATGACTGTGGATCACATATAACCAACAACTAAAAATAATATAATAGTACTGTAATACAAATATTAATAATTGTACTAATAACACAAAATCATCTTTAATTTTAAGTGTGAAAGGAATCCTTTCAATTTTCACCATATATTTACCAAAGTTAACTGCATTGAGCCTAAATTTTTCCTAATCTAGTACCTCCAGAGAGGGGGTGGGGTGGGGATAATACTCAGCTTGCAACTATTCATTTAGTGACCCTTCAAAGTTACAATAGCACTGAGAAGAATGACAATTTTTCACATTGCGTGATCAAAAAAATCAGACATTTGGCAACTGGCATATATTTATGACAGTTGCAGTGTCCTGAGGTCATGTGTTAATTTTTGGGGAAGCAAAGTAAATGGGAAAGCCAGGTTCACCTCACAACTGTGTTACTAACTTAATAACTGCAGTGGTTGATTTAACAACTGTGGCAAGAAAGGTCGTAATATGGGACAAAACTCACTTAACAACTGTCTTGCTTGGCAACATAAATTTTGGGCTCAATTGTGATCCTAAGTCCAGGCTTACTCATATCATACCATCATTCCCAGCAATTGTAAATCTGTGGCTATGACGATTGCAGGTACTGTAACTGGATCTGTTGCCCAACCAACCTGTCTGGTAGCAGGATGATTTAGAAAAAGCTGACATAAGCCTTCCACCTTTTTCCTGTACAAAATCATTCCAATGCTTTGCAGCATTCTATATTAAAAAGGGGACAATCCAGCAACTTGCTACACAATTAAACAGTCTGTACTTTACTATAAGATAGCTGAAATGGCCCAGTCTTTAATGTTTCTCAACCACCCGGTAGTACTGATGGGGCCAGCTTCCATCATCTTTATATTAAAAGCCGTGTTAACTCTATTAAGGGTCTTCTCTTGGTCCCTTAGTGAAAGATTTATTATACTATAATGGCAGGGGACATCTCTGCAGATCCATACTGAACAATGCCTATCTGATGATTACATTAAATGCGTCATTCAGATAATCTGCAATTTCACAAACGTATCCAAATTCCTGCTAAGACCAGTTTAGTGGTTAAGGTGGTTAAGGCTCCAGGCTAGAAACCAGGAGACTAAGATCTAAACCCATCTTGGGCATGAAATCGGGTTGGGTGACTTTGGGCCACTCATACTCTCTCAGTCCAATTCACCTAACAGGGTTTTGGTTATGGGGAAAATAGGAAGAGGAGGGAGGAAGGAGTACTTGGGTATATTTGCCGTCTTGAGTTACTTATACAAATGATAAAGGCGTTTTTTTAAAAATCTTTTAAAAAAATTAAGCCCTTATTGCAGTCTATTTCACAAGATAGTTGTAAAAGCAAAGGAAAAAGAATTCAGTTGTTTTTTGGGAGGAAGAACAAGATAATAATTAAACTCATTTTACCACATTCATATGGCTACTCACATACGCAATCTCTTCTTTATGTTTCCATTAATCCCGCATTGCCAAGTTCCACTGCTATGCTCAACCCAATCATGCTTTTCCCCCTATGTGCTCATCTCTTTTTCCAGATGATTCATCCATCTACTAAAAAAAGGCTCTCCCACCTGGGCACCAGGGTTTTCAGAAGCTCCTGTCTCCATTCGCTGTGCTGCAGACTGGGATCCCACCAGGCGCTGGTTGCTATTGAAGTAAGAAGGGGGACATTCCTGTAGGATGGGAGGAGAATATTAAAAAAATAAAAGCAGTGTTTTCCTTCTGGAAATTCCAGACTGGAAAAGTAACCTATTACTCAACATGAACTAGCAAGTGGTCCACAAGAAATACTAATTCTACTGAATCCTTTCTCTGGAGCCCATTCTGTATATTTCACTAAAATGTATGGAGTACGTGTAGGGAAAGGAGGTATAAACTTTGCTTTCCCCAAACGGAAACATACAAGGCAGGTACACCATTACAAAATTTCCAAACAACAGCTACTATATTGGCAGCATCCCAAACCAACTCTTGGGATCCTGGTGGTGTTCTCTTTGAGCTTTTCTCTGTTCTCCCCACACACCAGTAGCAGCACTCAATGAGCTGATCAATAGTTCCATCATCAAGAGTCATAAAGCTGCTCTTGATCATGGAAGCTCCCTGCAGATATGCCCCCACATCTCTCTAAAGTGTGATTTTCAGTGGGGTGGGAGGGGGTTTGCAATCTCTCTCTTTCTCTGACCAACCAAACCTGAGAGATAAAACGAGATGAAAACAAACATTTCTTGCACCTATAGAATCTGATGTGACTGGCTAATCTTACTAGGTGGTGTTATCCAACCATGCCAAAGAGTAGCAGGTAGGTTAGGCAGAGACTGATAGGCCCATCTGCCACCATGGGGGGTTGCGTGTGTGTTCAAAACAGGAAAGATGCTGGATGCAGGGGGTTGCAACGCAAGTCCAACCTCTTTGCCCACCTGTACGACACCAATGCCCATAGGAAAGAGGGAAGCTTGAATCCTTGAAGCCGCATCCGGTATCTTGCCGGTTTCAACACCCGCCACCATGGATGCCAATGGACAGACCACAATTTGCACAACTTTTCCATTCTTCAACAGAAGAGAATGCAGGGCATCTCAGCAGTAATATGATGAAGGGTTGTTGTAATTACAGTGAAGCTACCTGGCGGTGTTTCCTCAGTGCCCCAAGAGGAGGGTGAACCTTTGTGTGTCTCCACTTTCCCTGGACATTGCTACATTGCTGGAATTATAGTAAAAGAAATGAACTGGAGAGTAGATGGCTGTTTTAGACCAATTCCCCACTTGCCCAGATAATGGCCCAGCAAACATTTTGCTCTGTCCCCACAATGCTGCCTTCTTCCAATACTCGGGTCATGGAGCAAGGCAGGCTTAGGCTGGCCTAAGCTGCACCAGTATTTTCCTTCTTATTCCAACACTATCTAAGGGCGGCCACAGGTAGGTCAAACCCATTAGGCTCTGGCACCCATCACCCAAGAGAGAAATTGGGTGGCTGCAGTGAGTTCAAAATGAAATAAGAGAGAAGGATCATATGTAGACAATGAATTTCACAGCGGGTATTATTTCCTGCTGGCTGAAGTGTGAGTGGTAGGCATTATGCTTGGGTAGAGCAATGCCCCAAGACTGATGGGATTGGCAGAGATGTATGCATATCTCTGTGAACAGCTATAAATCATTTCATGTATTGGGAGGAAGCCAGTCTAAACGCAGCACCATGGGTCAAACATTGGTCTCAACCACAACTGGGATGGGAGATGTCCAGGAAGTATTTCTCCTCCCACATATAGGGAGGCATGTTCACAGGAAGCCCCACCCCCTTCACCCTTCATCAGAACGCTTGCTGCCTTCATGGGAGCCTCCTTAAGAACGGGGCAAAGTGCCGTTGTTCTTGAGACTGAAATGTTATGCGCGTGAAAGCCGACATTTCCTTTTTCAGGCAGCAACTTCTCTTCACTCACTCACAGAGGGGGGCATTTTTCGTGGTTTTGAATAAAGCTACACCTGTCTGGATATTTCCACCTGGCAATATGACATTACAGTATAATCCTACTTCCTAGAACAAGGAGAGAACAAAAGAAGGGCTTTGATTGGGTAACACACTAAAGCTACTGCTTTTATTCTGGGGTTGTTGTTTTTATATATATAATCTTAAATAAGTATGTGAGAGAATTTTTTTTATTTAGTTCTGTTTAATATAACTTTGCCAAATTTGCATAAACTAAAATACAATTATACCGCAACCAATGCTGCGGTTAAAAAAAAAGGATGCTAGATACAAAAACATATTCTATTAGGAAAATACTGGGGGGGGGGGGGGGTAATTATTAGGCAAAGCCTAATAGAAAAATTAGGAGAAATGTAAACAGAAATGTATTTACATTTGGAAAATGTGAAAGCTCACATAAAAAGAGGCAAATATTTAAACCACATAAAGCAGAATTTGAAAGCTTCTCTCTCTCTCTCTGTATGTATGTATGTGTATATATATAAGTTTTCGCGGGTACTTACATGTATGGTATTCGGCTTTGTTCAGGTATTTTCCCACGTCATTATAGTTGTGCTTTTAAAGTTGTAGCAATGTTTCGGCAGAATCTCATCTGCCATCATCAGGCTTCTGTATAGTGTTCGTCTGTGAGTCAGACTTTCACAGCCGTTTCTGTTTTAAATTTGGGGCTAGCCTACTGCTGTGCCAAAATGGTTTTTGCTTCATCCTGATTGGTTGGGAGTCTTGGTCTGTGTTTATTGGTCTTGGAGTTTGCTGTGTTCTGCTTGATTGGTGTTTCTAATATCTTCTGTCTGTTTTGTAGCTTTTTTTGTCTTGATTGGCTGGCAATATTGTGTTTCCTGCATTGGAGGCTTTTAGTGGGGCTTGGCTCCGAGTAAATGGACGGCTATCATTTATTAGGAAGCTAGGTTTCATCTGAGTGCCTGGTTGGGGTGTTTTTGAGCTGGAGGTATGGGGGGGGGGGTGTCTGTATGTGCCCAGGTGTTTGCCTGGCTTGTGGTGTGGAGATTTTTTTGTTTGTGAGTGCAGGCTTCCAAATAATTGACAGTCTGGTAGAGTCATCTCTTCTATTCATGCTTTCAGGTCTTTTTTCAATCTCTATGGCTTCTCTGATAATTCTATAGCTGGGGTTTTCTATAGTGGCTAGGGTTTTGGTGCCATTGAAGTTGATGCTATGACCTGTGCCTTTCATGTGTTGGACTAGTGAGGAAGTGTGTTCCAGCTTTTTTACAAGACAAAAAAAGGCTACAAAACAGACAGAAGATATTAGAAACACCAATCAAGCAGAACACAGCAAACTCCAAGACCAATAAACACAGACCAAGACTCCCAACCAATCAGGATGAAGGAAAAAAACCATTCTGGCACAGCAGTAGGCTAGTACCAAATTTCAAACAGAAACGGCTGTGAAAGTCTGACTCACAGACGAACACAATATAGAAGCCTGATGATGGCAGATGAGATTCTGCTGAAACGTTGCTACAACTTTAAAAGCACAACTATAATGACGTCGGAAAATACCCGAACAAAGCTGAATAACATACATACATACATACATACATACATACATACATACATACATACATAAATTTTCTGAAGCTGAAAAGGATCTGATTCAGACTTCTGGGATCTGCATTATTTTCTATTAAAACTGAGAGCCAGACAGAAATATGCTAGGAAAGATGGAGCAGACATGGAAGCAAATAGGAATGTGCGTTCCCAGGGAGTTTGTTTTAATAATGGACTCACAAATGACCTGAACACAGAATTCCTGATGATTGCTTTGTAATTATGCCACTCAGTTCTGATTACTGAGGAGCAAGTCCAGAGGATACAATTGTTTTCAAGCTCCTCTTGTGTTCTTTCCAGGGTCATCTGTGCAACTAACTCAAGTGCTCCTCCTTTGGGGAGGAGAGTTTTCACTCGATTGCAGTTGGAAGTCCCTTTTTATTAACAATGGGGCAGCCCTCTCTGAAGGAGGGACAGGAAATTGTCATTAGACATAGTTGGCAGCATCCGACCAGTCATGTTTTAAAGAGATATAAAAGCATGAATCTGAATGACTAATAGAGGTCAAAGCCTCCATTTTGCCTCTTCCCCCTTTCCCCAAAATACAAAATTGAGTGCAGAGACCTACTATTTGAAGACAAGCCTTGTCAAGTGGAACTTTCATAAAGGGATATCAGTTTGCTAATTAATCCCATTGCTAAGGCCAGCCAAATAAACCAAAACCCACCATCCCCCCAAAAATCAAGCAAAACAAAAACGAAGGATACCACCACCAGCACCCAGGAGAATTTTCATGTTTGGTCTGAAATCTGAATCTGGGATTTGAAAAAGAAGCAGAATAATAACAGAATAACAGAGTTGGAAGGGACCTTGTTTCTCATCTAGTCCAACCCCCTGCACAAGCAGGAGACCCTACATCATTTCTGACCGGTGGCAATCCAGTCTCTTCTTGAAAACTTCCAGTGATGAAGCTCCACAATTTCTGAAGCCAGAAGCAAGAACTAGATATTGCTTTAGGGTAGATTCTCAACCTCAGCCACTTTAAGATCTATAACCAGGGAGCTGGAGTCCCTATCTTAAGCACTGTTTTAGGTTTTGCAAGTTTAATTGACATGTGGCATAGATTCACTGGACCTGAGCTCAGCATGACTGCTTTAGGATCACCATAGACTAGGGGTGTCAAACTCACGGTGTCATGTTATCATCATCACGTGACGTATTGCGACTTCCCCCCCTCGCTAAACTGGGCATGGGCGTGGCCAGTCCGCGAGTTTGACACCCTAGCCATAGACCAACATTTTCAAGGTAGTCTTACCTTCATCAGCTAACCAAACTTTTCAGAAATCTTCGTAAATGGTCGTGCAAACATGAAAAAAAATGGGATCTGTGTACCTACTAAAAAGTATAGTTGGCCAGATAATTTAAAATCAGGCAATAGCTTAAAGGATCCATCTCATGTCTGTCCCTCTCCAAATACTACAGCCTTTAAGAATTCCTGCCCAACTGGTAGCTGAAAATTCTGGGACACTACAATGCACACAGAGGGCAAGAGGTTAAAGAAAATGTTACCAGGATATGTTTTTTATGCTGGTCTCTCTCAATGTGGTTTGCTTGTTTTTAGAAACAGATCAAAACCAGTCAACCAGTTAATTCAGCAAAGAATGGCTAAACCAGTAATAGTTTTATGCATTATTTAAAATACTGGCTAGGTTTAATCATATGATTAAGTGTCAGTATGTTTCCTCTGAAACTGTCCAGCCATTTGATTTCTGATCCAAGAACGGATATCCATGTGGGTTGGAAGCAAGGGGTGGTTTCTTTCCAGGCAATTGTTTTCAAGAGATGAAGAGAATGGAGTCCTTGGGGACATCTATCTAGTCACAGGGCATACAAGCCAAGACAGTTTGACTTGACCTCAGCTTTTGAAACAAACTGAGTGAATTTTGAAAGTTCTAAACCTAGGACAAACATAGCAATTAGGCTGATGCACTTCTTCTGAGAAAAGTAAGCAAGAACCACCATGAGAACTAAATCCTTGGAGACATCTATTGACTCGCATGACATGCTCTTTAAGCCAAGATAGTTTGACTCGACCTCAGCTTTTAAAGCAAATCCCGTAAGCTCTGAAAGCTCTAAACAGAGACAAACATAGTTGTTAGTTAGGCCAATGCACTTCTAAGAAAAATCAGCAAGAACCACCGTGAGACCTTGACATGTCTTCCACATATAAAATCAGCTAGGATGACCAAGCTAATTCTCACACTTTCACCCTGGAAGCTTTCTTTCCTTTACTGAACAGGGGAGGCTTAAGAAAAACAAATGTTGCATGAAGGCAGCCTTTCTACGTACCCTGGGGACATTTGGTAATAAAGAACTTCCTGAGAAAAAGCTGTCCCAAGAAAGCCTTATCGCAAAACACTTGGCTGAATCATAGAGGAGACAGATGTCAGCTGCTTCCAAGCTATTCTCAAGCCGTTTCTACACAGAAGTATAAGACACTGTATTTCTAACTTCCATAATTCCATATGATTTAGATTTAGTACATAACGATTCCATTCTTCTGAACACAGAGGGGGATAACTAAAAACACTGCTCTACACTTACTACAGCTCTGGGAGAAGAAGGCGACTTATGTTAAATCACAGACAGCTCTATTTAAACTGGAAACCTATAAGGGACTGTTGCTGCAACAAATGGGGGAATAGAGTAGAGGCAACAAAGAGAGTAAAGCAGAGTTTACTTGCATCGCAGTTATCTTGGCAACATCTTCTTCGAAATGCAGCCTCTTTGGACTTTCAATGTGGATTATAAAAAACTCCCAGATACTTTGCCAAGAGTGGTAGGATGCATGGCCTTTGGTGGCCCAGGGCAGGAAAGGACTATTTTAAAGGTCAATCTTATTAACTGAGCAAGATACCTCTGGATATGGAAATACATACATACAGTATTGCAACTCTGTATAGACTTCAGGCTATATACCCTCTGAGAGTTTTGAATTTCTACGGGGGTGGGTGGGAGGTGAGGATAGGATGAGAGAATAGGAGGAAGGTATAATGATTCCAACCATTCTGGAATCCTTTTTGTTCCACTTCTTCAGTGCTTTCAAACAAGCATTTTATTTAAATAAATTTAAAAAAAATCCACAATGTGCTTCTGCAAAAGAGAGAAAGGGAGAACGTTCTCTTTCTGGCTGTCCCCAGTCATGAACTGTGAAAGGTATAATGCTGGTTGCCGGGATACTGGCAATGGAGAATGGGGTTGTCTGCATTTACGAGTTCCTTACAGGAGCCCTCCCTGCTGTTTTCTCCATCCCTATAAGGAGAAGAGGAGGCCTGGGGCTGTAAAGGCCAGAAAGGTAAGGAGGGGCACAGTTCACATGGCACCATCATTACCCCCTGACACGACTCACTCTCGGTGTTACCTTCCCATCTGTTCTCGTACTTCAATACCCGCTCCCGGATAGTACCACCCACTCTCAAAAGCAGCCAACTGGGGAGAGGCTCAGGTGAAAAGGCTTTGTTTGTAGACAGAGTGGGAAGTGAACAGGCGCTCCTGGGTGTGCAACACTATAACTTGGCAGGAGAGAACTGTAAATAGACCTTGAGTTGCTATTCAGCCAGCAGAAAGGAAAACTAGACTCCTTTTATTCCAAGCGTGAGATGACAACCCTGCAAAGGGAGGCCTGCCAAAGGCTGTGCAGGGGAGCAGCATGTGGCCTCCAGTCCTTGCAGAATACAAAGAGGCACGCTCTTTACCCAGCATCCAAAAATGGGCAGGGGAACAGCGAGACCTGGTGGGCAAGGGAACCTGATGAAACCCGAAGAAGCAGGCAACTGGCGAGATACTCACATACTGACTAGGGCTCTGGAAGAGTCGGCAAGAGCACAGAAATTGGCAGCAGAGAGGGTCCCGGTGGTACAAAAGGAGCAGCAGCACCAAAATGGCTACGATGAACACCGAGGAAGAAACTGCTAACAAAGAAGAGAAAAAGGAAAATACAATGAAGCATCTTGTACAGCTTCCGAATACTATCAGGCTCAGTGAAATCTCTACAAAGTAGGTATTCAGCTTCCGCCTAAACTTCCCCAAGGTCTACAACACTTGTCATCTCCAGCCAGCATGGCCTGCTAGCAGAAATGAGTTGTTGTCCTAGAGCAGGGGCATCAAACTCAAGGCCTGCAATCTGGATTCGGTCCGTGGGGTGCTTAGATCTGACCCGCGGGGCTGCTCTGGAAATAGCGAACAACTGGCCCACGGTGTCTCTGCCAGTGAAAACAGAGCTCGGGGGGCCATGCACACACACACACACACCCCGAGCTCCATTTTCACTGGCAGAGGGCTGCAGGTGGCCATCATAGGGAAAAACGGACATCGAGCTGGCCACACCCATCCTGGCCATGCCCAGTCTCAGCCCCCAACCCCCCCAAGGTCAAACACAACACTGATGTGGCCCTCAATGAAATCGAGTCTGACATCCTGTCCTAGAGGATGGTTAAAGATAAGGCCAACAAGAAAAACAAGGAAGTCAAAAGGCCCACAGCTGAAATAGCAAATGTATCACTGCAGCAATAGGAATGCAATCAGTTGGATAGTCCATGGCTCCAAAGACGTTGCCCTCTTTAGGAAGGTCTGCACCACTGATTGTTTTTTTTCCCCAATACAGGAATATCTGCCCCCGATACAATTAGATGTTTACTATGCTTTGAACTCACCCACCCAGACCCCTTTGGCTAGATAAGACTTGTGGACTCCCAGAATTCTCCAGCCAGCTATGCTTGAAGTCCACAAGTCTTAAAGTTGCCAAGTTTGGGGACCCCTGTGCTAGATGCTAATAGCTAACATAAATATGGATCAAAGGTACAAGAGGTAAGTTGAACAGATGCAGCCATCTCATCTGTATCTGCAGGTTTCGGAAACTTAAATTAATCTTTTAAACCACGATTACTGAGAACTACCACCATCTTTCTGTCTACATCTGTTGCAGTTGTAAAATCAAGTACTACTCTGAAGCCGCCTTCTCAAAGTGCTTAGCAAATTCATCCCAAGATAACCCGAGGTGTAAAGGCTATCACTATCAAGTACTATTCAGTTGCCCTGTAGCATCCCAAAAGAATTAGTTACATTTGATTTTAAACTTGCACTCTCTGGATTCCCAATGTATTACAGCCCAAGGTGCATTTCTGTTTCCACAATGCTGAGAAGGGTATTTAGGTATAATTCTTTCAATGGCTCTGTCCGTCTCATCCTTCCATAGTGTAATATTTGATATGATCACCAGTTCTGCCAACCAGGAATCCCACAGATTTTTTTCTATAGGCTATTTCTCTATAGCAGGCTACTCTAATGATGTATTTATACCTCTAGAATGTATCTGTCACCAGCAATCTAAATACTAGAAGGAAGTAATTTGTTTATGACAAAGAGATCACAGAACTATTGGCTCTTTTCTTTAAGCCAGTTATAAGAATAGGAATCCAAGATATCATGGGTTGACAAAGAACTGAGATAGGCCCATGGTTGTTATAATGATCATGAAATCATGAACCAGCTCCGGGCTTCAACCTGGATTTCAAAGTCTTCCTATAATGTGCTGTCCCAGTCAGTTTATGGGAATTGGATAATTACTTAGGAATTATGAGCTGTCCCCTTAAGGGAAGGCATATAGTAAATGTAGTTAAAGGTATCCTGGGAAATGTAGTCCATGTCATGTGGCCACATCTGTAATCCTGATTGGTCACTAATTTGTCCCTTGAGAGGTTGGGGGAGTTTTCCTCACTTTTGCCTGAACTCACTAACTCATGGCAGCTGCTTTCTATCGCTACGAGATGTGTTAGGAGATAACCATCTTTTACTACAAGGCAGATATACAAAGGATTGGTCATTAAAGAAGAACTTTGTCACAAATGTGAGTTATGAGGATACCTGGTGAACCAATAAATATACTTTGTTATGGACGTCTTGTTGAGTTATCTATCTGCATCTGTACAGTTTATAAATCTACCTCTGTACAGGATACAGAAAAGTAAAAGATGGTTATCTCCTAACCCACCTCGTAACGATAGAAAGCAGCTGCCATGAGTTAGTGAGTTCAGGCAAAAGTGAGGAAAATTCCCCCAACCTCTCAAGGGTCAAATTAGTGACCAATCGGGATTACAGATGTGGCCACATGACCTGGACTACATTTCCCAGGATACCTTTAACTACATTTACCATGATGACTTCCCTTAAGGGGACAGCTCATAATTCCTAAATAACTATCCAATTCCCATAGACTGACTGGGACAGCACATATAAACTCTACTGAAGAAAAGTGGAATATAAATCTCTCAAAAAAATAAGCAAACCAATAAGGAAACTTTTCCATACTTGTAAATATGCAAGCTTCCTTAAATAAAATTATTTGTGATTCTTTCAGTTTATATATTGCCTTTCCTCCAGGAGCTGCTGGTGGTGGATAAAACATTCCCTTCTCCAAATTCTCCACAACAACAATCTTGAGAGATAGGCTGAACAAAGATTTAAAGAGTTAGTCCAAGGTCACCTAACAACCTTCAATGATAAAAGGAGACTTGAACTTGGATCTTTCTAATCCAACAATGACTTCATTGTACAGCTCAGAAAAATCATTAATTTCTGAGTCTCCATAATTCAGTTTTATATCATGATATGAATACTGCTAAAATTTCTTCTCTGAAATCATAATCTGGCATTTGATTGCAAGCCTTTGGGGAAGAGACATGTCCAACTATATATCTCTTTTTTTGGTAAGAGACTATTTATGAACCCAATATTATAAAAACGTATATAAATAATAAATGTCCTAAACATCCAGAGAAACTTCTATATATTTTCAGGGAGCTGCTGTACTAAAAAACAAGATAAGAATGGTATGACGATTTTGTCTTCAGATACTCAATACTTCTATTGAGTATCTATTTAGGTTCAATAAGGAATTTGAATAAGAGATAGTGCGTTGTTGACAACATGATGCACTTCCATTGGCATTCCATGTTCTCTACTTTGTAGAGAGGGAACAGGTCTAATTACACAATTTTTTGAAGTTTTGCTCTGCATAGAAAGTCATGAGACGGGGAAACCCGTGGGTCAGAAAGCCTAAAGTTTTTTTCCCCCAGACAGTCCTATTTTCCTCACTCTTGACCTTTATTTCTTAATATCTCAAAAGAATTTGCTCTTGTCCGTTATCTAATGGGTGGAGTTAATCAGGTAGGACACACTGTTTCAGTGGACATAGTCCATTTCTAGGCACCCATTCCTTACCACATACTTTTTCAGAGATTTGTCTGTAGTCCAATATGATTTGGGTCATCTGAGGTAATCTTGTTAAAATGGTCTGTAAAGTGAAAATGCATAAGGCTATGCTGAGCTATGTTTCTTATTCAACTTCGTGTTTTATTCCTTTCTCCAGCTGTTCTAAATCAAACAAAATATACCGGGAGATCCAGTTGTATCAGTTTTGACCACAATGAAGAGTAGCCTTGTATCTTTAGACTTCATATTGAACGCTTCATCAAATAAATAATCCCCCATCTTAAAAATCTAGGTATCAGGCATAGCTCTCTCTGTCATAGTACGTTTTTTTCTTGATTTAATGCAGCAGCTATACATTAGTCAAGTACATCCCTACTATAACCAAGATATAGGGATCTTCTTAGTGAAGATAGGATTTTAGAGATACCCTTTAACATTTTTCTTTTAACTGGTGATGCCTAGGTATAGTAAATGACAACTCCTATTACCTTCAACAGCACTGGCTGCAAATGATATCAACAATATGGACTGCATCAGGTTGAGGTAGGCCATCCCTGAGGTTTAGGTCTACTGACAGGGGTATGGGGAGATTGCAATCAAAATGTTTGCATTGTGAGACCAAACTGCTGTTCTTAAATCTAAAATTATTTCTGCTATTTATAATTCCTCCCAAATTACTTCTTCATTCCTGGATTCTAATGTAGAAAGAAAAAAAGAGAGAGAGAGAGGGAGGGAGGGAGGGAGAGAGAAGAATGAAAGAGAAGAGAGAGAGAGAGAAAAAGAAATTCTTTTACCAGGTTTTGCTTTACCAATTTCCTCTCTCCTTAATCCCTGCCTCTCCCTTTTCCTTATTCTTAGAACATAAATTCGTGGGCAGGCCTTTCTTTATTCTACTCTACATAGTGCTCAGTAAGAGGGAAGCATTTGACAAATAATTGAGTGAAATTTCTGTATCTCACATAATGAAGTGAAAATACCAGCAATTAAATAGTTGTTGAATACAGAGGACTAAGCTTCCAGCTTTTAGAATCTGTAATTCTACTGAATGTTTACTTCCCAGCAGTCCCATTGGCTTTTAAAGGACTGGAATAAGGAGCACTGGATGGTGGTTTTCCTCTCTTTATTTTTGCATGCCCAGATTTCTCCCACCTGTAAAGATCAGATGATAACATTTCCTTTCTGGACAAGGCACAATATTAAGTTCTCAACTGTAATCTGTTTCTGTAGAAGTTCATTAAAATAAGTCAAATATCACTAACTGCAGCTCTTAGATTAATCCAGTATTTCACTTTAGCTAAATTCCATTTGGTTCCATTTTCACAATCTGATGTCTTCACGTGTCTATTACTCTCAATATTTCTTTTTTTCTCCAAAACTTTATTAGTCTTTTATATCTTTAAAAACCAAACAAACATAAATATTATGACATTAACAGTGTGTGACATCTATCTCATATACTTCTATTTTGTGCTTATTTATAAATATATACAGCTTTAATATAAAGCTGTATATGCAAATATAAAGCTTTAATCTAAGAAATGCTTATCGTTGACTCTTTTCATCATCCCTTTGTCTTAATTCAATTCAATCATACAATTTTTCCCAAATTCTATAATATTCAGACTCCTCTTTCTCTTGTAACATCAGAGTTAATTTCATCCATCTCGGCACACACCATTATCTTTTGAATAACCAGTTGATCTGTTGGTATAGAATTGTTTCCAACATTGAGCATAGCTAATTCTAGTGACGGTTAAAACATGTAGTATTATATATTTTGTATCTTTCCCATATTTCTTTTTAATCATCCCTAATAGAAATAATAAATAAATCTATTTGTTCCTTGAGGCTCTCTTGTAACCCCTTTTGAATTTTAAGCCAGTACTTCTGGGCTTCTAAACAATACCACCACATATGATAGTAAGTGCCTTCTTTCTTCTTACATTTCCAACATGCCAGATTCATGTTGGGATATATCAAATCGTGGTAGTGATGGTAGTCATTTCTTTTAATATTTTGGTTTGTTTCCTTAAAATACTATAAATGTTATCCCAGATCAGCATCAATTAGTATGGGCCACTAATTTCAAGAATTTATCAGTGTTATCTGAAATTAATCTTTGCAGATCCCAATGGAAGAATTTTGATGATGGAAGTGGTAATAGCCTCCAAACCGGTACTATTGGTAGTAATTTATGCGCCCAATGAAAATCAACAAGAGTTCTATACAATGTTACATAATAAAATTATTGAATTAGGACTCTCAATATTTCTACAGGTAATCCTCGAATTACAACAGTTGTTTAGTGAAGTTACAACGGCACTAAAAAAAAGTGACTTATGACCATTTTTCACACCTATGACCATTGCAGCATCCCCCATGGTCATGTGATCAAAATTTGAATGCTTGGCAACAAGTTCACATTTATGACGGTTGCAGGGTCCTAGAGTCACGTGCAACATTTTGACAAGCAAAGTCAATGGAGAAGCCAGATTCACTTAATGGTATTACTAATTTAACAACTTCAGTAATTCACTTAACAAATGTGGCAAGAAAAGTCATAAAATAGGGCAAAACTCACTTAACAAATTTCTCCCTTAGCAACATAAATTTTGGGCTCGATTGTGATCGTAAGTTTAGGACTACCTGCATTAGCTTCTGGGAATTCTGGAAGATATAGACTATCAGTTCTGGAGAGTTGGAAAATACTGTATAAAGACTTTGGATGAATACAATTTAAAAAATACAGCAGGCTACTGTACTATACTTTTTTCTGCAATGTCAGAATAATAGAGCTCATAAATTATTGTTAAAATTTGGATTTGTCAGTTAAGGCATATGTTCAAAAAGAATGAATTGAACATTTTCAAAAAGTATTTATACATTTTTTGCCTATTTTTCTAATCAAAAATGTTAATTTAAGCCTCCCAATTAGGGATTTCATATGTAGAAAACTGATTTTAAATAACCTGCATCACATATGGCTAGATCAAGGAAGTTAATTAAAAAAACACCCTGATGTTTATTTAGAGTCAGTGGAGTCAGCAGAATTCTCACCTGCTTTGTATTTATTGGAATTTTATTACTTTAAATTAGCTTTTCTGATTTGCTCTTGAAAAACCTGGTTGCTCAGCACTATGTTCATGTTGCAAGTAGGATCAAATTAAATTATAAGTTCCTAAATAATTTTATTTTAAAAAGCCAATTCTTCCATGTTGATTTGGCAGGATGGTGAACAAATCCAAGAAAATATCAACATGAAGTTCAACCAAGATTAAATTTCTGCTTTAAGATAAAACAGATACACAAGACTGGAAGTAATAGCCCCTGGACTAACATCAATGCATGTGGGAAAATACAATGGTCAAAAAAGACTTGAGCAAATCTATATTGCACCATCACAAGTAGAGCATTTATTTAGAGGATTTGGCTAATTGACCCTAAAGTACTGTGTCCAATTTGGGACACCAAAGTTTAAGAATATCCTATTCATCCATCTATCCATCCATCCATCCACCATTATCTCCAAATAGCATAAGTGAGATCATCATCTAGTGAGCTTCAGAGGAAAATGAGGGCTTGAAGTCTAATACAACAAGGGCTCTACTGACTAAGAAAAAAAAAGGGAGAAATTATGCTTAGCCAGGAGAATATATTCCGAAGTATGTGTCACATAAATAATAAGTAGAAAAATGTTTTCTTTCACCTAAAAGGTCTGAACTTTAATCCGCTCAAATGATAAGGAAAAGCATCAGGGTAAACATGAAAAAGAATTTCTTGATCCAAAGCCCTGTTTGTGAATAGATGGCTACCTATCAGGAGTGCTGATTGGACAAGATGACCTTTGAGGTCTTCTTCCAACACTCTAATTTGTTTGCTACACAGGTGTGATTCACATTAAATTCTGATGTAGTTGGTTTGATTTTAGCTTCACATGTTCTGCAAACTCAGGCTTCAAAGTTTAGGGTTTCGGATGCAATGGGAATCCTACTGATTAATGAAACAAAATAAACCAAGGAGCCTTGTGGGACACACCTGGGACAGGAGACAGGGCAAAGAGATTTACGCTCAAGTGACACTGAACGTAGCTTTTGACCTCTGGAGAGACTTTGAGGTAAGAAATGCTCTGAAACCAAATTCTGCAGACAGTGTTATTCCAAATACATTTTGTGGGAATGGGGGAGAGGCTGTTTTTAAGTAGCTTTAGTCAAACTATGAAATTCTTTATCCTGGAAAATATATTTAATAACAGCTGTTGTCACTAGCATGCTTTTATCTATTGGGCAGGTTAGGTTTCTCCAATTTATTTATTGATTTATTTGCATGGTTGTTTTTAATGCTGTGCTTTTTGTTTTTATTTATAAGTAAGCACAAAATTAAAAACCAACATTTCATGAGAATTATAGTTGTCTTTTAACACTATTCTTAATTATTCTACCTTATGCATTTTGGGGCATTTTTTTGATTGAAAGGTAGCTATACTTTCTGTTTGAACATTCATGAAAAGATCCTTAAAAAGCAAAAAAAAAATATTCCACTTCAATATTTGTAGTTAGGTGAGACCATAAGTATCACAGAACACTGTCACACTTTGAAACCCCAACATTTTTTTGATAAAAGGTGATCAAGTTCTCTTCATTCTACTTTCTGAAACAAAATAGGCACAACAAAAAAAGATGCAAGGGACAGGCTGTCTACAATTAGGGATCCCAGTATTATTTAGATAATGGAAGAATATCTGTTATTCTCTTAAAAATGTCTTTACATTTTTTTATTAGTGTGGATAAAAACACAATTTGTTATAGCAGAGGTATAAATGTACGGCTTCCAGAGATTACTGAAGCACAAGTCCTTACATCCTTCATCCCATTGGCCGCCCCTGGTCCTTCCTCTCATGGAACTATAGAAGTGTGCAAGACTGACTTTCAAAGATGTCTACCCATTAGTCAAAAATATTTTGGTGGCTTTCAAAATATAAATGCATCTATTTGATTTTGGCTTGATTATACGCAGGTCTCCATCTACACATTTGTATGCAAAGAAATACAAAAGGGAAAAAGCAAATGTTGGGTGCCCTAATTGCAGCCCTAAATCATTTGATTTTGATATTTTTCTTAATAAATGATACAGCACAGTCTGTTCCTATGGCAAATATGTCAGCAACACATGGCTCCATGATGACTCCTGATCAGTTTGTCCAAAGGCTGAGGCAATTTCTGAAGTCAAGAGTTTGATAATGAATCAATTGCATGGCATATTATAAACAGTTTATGGCTTCTAATGATTTTTATTGTTTTTCAAAGGTACACTACTCAGAGTCACATACAGTATGTGAAATTAGAATTCCCTGCCAAGGAGCTACAAAGATTTCTCCCCATCTTCTCACACAAGACACAAGAGAGCACCACACACAAAGATACTAGCTAATTCACACATTATACTATGCCTCAATGTGACTTGGTTTGATTTGGGTTCAGTGCCAAATAGACACAGTCAACTTCTTAATACCATGTATATACCCAGCAGACTGTGGTTTGTGAGCAAACCAAGATCAAATATTCAATGGCTTAGTACAGCATTACTTCTGCAATTGAAATCTGGGTTTGCTTCTGGAACCAAGATGAACAGAATATTATATCTGTAATTCAGATTTCCCCCAACCTGGTTCCTTTGACCGTGAGGCTGGGCATGCTGGGATTTGTAGTCCTAATACCCCCGAGAGTATTTACTTAGACCACTTTTCCCCCCCCCCCCCCCCAAACGGTCGCAAGCACTGCAGCACATTACAGCTATAAACTAACCATGTGCATGCACGGAGAGAGGGAGAACAGAAGAGAAGCATGGCTTCTGGCAACACAATGAAGTGGGAGGAAAGGCAGTGGAGTTTTTCTACATTCCTAAAGAGAATCGACGGCAAACACATCAATCCCAAAGGAAAAAAAGCAAAAGAGGGCGAGAGACAGGCGTGCAAGTACTCACTGGTAGCTATAATAATGGCCACGATATTACTGTCCATAGGAGCAGTGTTGGCAGGTGAGTAAGTCTGGGCCTCGCTTAGCTTGGTCATCGCCAGAGTCCACGGCCGCCTCCGAGCTCTCTTCTCGGTTGGAGGCGCCACATGGAGGAACCACCTGCCGGACCGCGGCTCTTCGCCTCTTCTTTTCCACAACCCGGCCAGCTACAGTCTTTTCAGTCCGCCCCTAGTTCCTTCTGGCTTCTTTTGTTTTTTTTTCCTCCTCAGGCTGCTCCTCGGATCAGCGCAGTTCAGGAGCGGCTGGGTGCCACCCCCGCCTCTCCTATTGTGCCCGCTCGCCTCCCCTTCTATTTGCATGCTCCGCTTCTGATAAGGAGATTTCTGGCAGGCCGAAGGCCGGTTCCGTGTCTTTTTCCTCCGGAGCGGGCCTGATAGGACAACATCTGGATCTCTCTTGGAACAAGCGGGTTTTGTTTTTTGTTTTCGTTTTCCTCTCCCTTCCGCTCTCTTTACAAAGGTGTAGGTCGTCCCGAAGGCGATTGCATCGAGTTCGTTTCTTTTGCAGCCGGTTCGGTTGTCTTACTCTTTCCCCGAAGGAAAACAAAAAACTACCGCGGATACTTTTCGGATGATATAGTTCAGTTCTCACGTTCCTATAATTTATACAATGCTTTCGGATTACGTTCGGTTAATCCGTCTCAGTTGAAATCGCTCCAAAAATGCTTTAAACCTCCGGAGCCCCAGCCTCTGCCGCCCGGCATTCCCAGCCAAGTAACAAAATCTTTTATTAAGAGGGGGATGGGATGCGGTGTTCCCCAAAGGCTACTTCAGAAGCTCCGATCCCGGGTAGGAATTACAAAAAGAACACCACACCTCCCCTTCCCCGCCCCCCGCTACCTTAGTCTCCGGGATGTACGACTCCCGCGCTAGCTTCACCGAGAATCTTAGCACTATCGCCTTATTGCGCCTATCTTCTAGGCTTCGCTCCTGATTGGTTACTGACAGAACGCTCTCCATCCCGATTGGTCGAAAGTGAGAATCGCTACATTCTCGGGATAGAACATTGTGTCGGCGGTCGCCATAGAAACTGTGGTCCCGGAGAGGGGAAGCGAAAGGAACGTTCTCTCTCGCCTCCTCCTCCTTCGGCAGTCCATTATCTTTTTTTTATTTTTTAACGTGCAACGTTATTTCTCACTCCCCCCGGGTTATTGGCTTCTGGCTGCCTAAACCAAGAAGAAAGCCCAGCAGAAGTACAAACTTTAACGGGACGGTTGGGAGAACGTTTCAATCGCTAAAATCATCTTGTTGAGTGGGGAATGCAAAGTGTAATCTGTGGGCTAATTGCTACACGGTAGGGAGTTTGGTTAAAATGAGGCAATAGGGTATAAAATGTGAAAGGTGGGGGGGATACTTTTATTTAGCATTTTCATACCCGGAATATATGAAAGCCCTATTAAGTCTTCGATATTAATTATGCAGCTCGTAACCAGTGACAATGATCATGTTATTACAGATGATCTCCAAATTTAAGATAGGAATTTTCCCCAATTGCAAAGCCCAGGAACCGAGCTTGCCCTGTGCTCTGAATTACAGCCTTTCTCACAATGGGGCATATTGAGAGTGACCTTCAGGTCATCTATTTCACATACCAATATTTGGGGGAATAAAAAAAGAGATGAGGTTTTGATAAATGTGAATTTTTAAAAGCTCCTTCCATGCTTTTGGGAGAGAGTTTATAGTTTAAAAATTAAATTGTAATTACATTTAACTTTAAAAAATCATTTTTTTTCATTTTGTCCAGATTCTAGATAACTTTTTACCCTTGCTTTGCCTGTTTTTTGAAATGCAGCTATGAAACACCAACTCAAACTTTGCGCATCCTTGCTCCGTGCATTCCTTAAGAATGGAAATAACTTTTTGTCCTTTTACCTTTTACAATTAAAACTCATTCTGGCCCCACAAAATGTTGAATATGGTAGACTTTGAGCTTTTAGTGAGGAGAGAAAAGCAAAAGTTACATAATCAGTATCTGCAACGGTGCATTCATATTAGTTGAACTATTGACTCTCTTCACCTTCAGACATGTTCATTAGAATCATGAGATGCCTAACAAAATGAACTATAAGTAAACAAGTAGTTGGGTTCTTGGTGCTCTCCTTGGAGGCATTTCATTACCAGGCAAGGTTACATCAGTGTGAGACAGCGTGGAGATTAGCTTTATGGATCTACTGATGGCTGAATTGTCTGAATATCAAGCTTCCAGGAATTCCTGATATTTTTGAATTCAACTTGATCTAAAATGTAAAGTTTCCCAGATTAAACTGTGGCTGGGTCTCTCCATGTGTTGCAAGATGAATAGACATAATATGTCAATAGACACAAACCTCATTTACTTTCCAATTAAACAAATATAAAAAGCTTAGAAAGAAAACGAAGAGCTCAGAATAGGATTCCTCCAGCATCCAATACCCAGATAAGCAGGAACAAGTACTAGCAATTAAGGAAGAAACAGTACCTTAATCAAGAGCCATCCATAAAAAAAAAAGCCACACGACCACTAAGTCTGGCAGAACAAGCTACTAGATAGAAACAGCCAGGAAACCCCACTCTTACAGATGATGTTGCCTAGACTACTAATGAAACATCTGCAACAAAGCAAGCAGAGAGCACCAAGAACCCAGCTGATCCCAAACTACCCATGGAACAAATCAAAAGTAACATATTAATATAAAATGTAATCTAAGCAAAAGCGGAGGCCTGGGAGTAAAAGCAATTCCTGTGGGAATGTGCTCCATAGCTTGGAAGTGGTTCTGGATAAAGACCCCTTCTCCTTCAGGTTTTAAATTTCTGCGGAGTTTCATCAGGATAGAAGGGGTCCCTGAGATAAATCAGTCCCTAAGCTATTTAGAGATTTAAATATATTCTGTTCTCTGACCTGACTTGCCTAGATATACATAATCAATTCCAATTTACCTGATAGAATTAATGAGTATTCATAGCCTACTTCAGAGCTGCAGATGATGAATAGCTGAAAAGATTTCTCCAGTAGAATATATTGCTAAAATGATCTTAACCAAAATGAGAACTTTATGTCAGATTGAAAATTGCTGATCGGGCGGGTATATTCCCTGTTTATTATAATATTAGCCTGTTGTGTATCATAAATGGTTGTTATAATATTTTCAAATTTGGTGCCTAAATTCATATTATAAATTTTTTGGACTAAAAATTGCCAATTTAAATTATCGAAGGCCTTCTCTGCATCTAAAAACATAAGTGCAATTTGTTTTTCGGGGTGGGCTTCGTAAAATTCTAAGACATCTAGTACAATTCTTAAGTTGTTCCTGATTTGTCTGGTCGGGAGAAATCCATTTTGATCTTCATATATATGCTCATTTAATATTCTTTTTAGTCTACTTGCTATAATAGAAGTGAATATTTTGTAATCAGTATTTAACAGTGAGATCGGCCTATAATTATGTATATATCGGGGATCCGAATCCTCCTTCGGGATCAGCGAAATCAATGCCCCCCTCCATGAGTCCGGAATCCTGGCTGCCAATAAGACGTCATTAAAAACTTCCACCATAAGAGGTCCTATTTGTTCTGCTATTGCCTTGTACAGCTCCCCTGGAATCCCATCTGGTCCTGGGGATTTATTGTTTTTCTGGTTCTCTATTGCTGATTTCAATTCAAACCAAGTAATGTCTTTGTTTAATAATTTTTCCATTTCTTCCCCAATTGTTTTATCCTTCACTTCATCTAAATAGTTTCTTATTCTATCTTTGTTAACTTCTTCCTTTTTATATAACTTCAAAATACTTATGGGCAATTTCTCTTTTCTGTTCTATCTCCTGTTGTATATCCCCCTTTCCATCTATTAGCTTGTATATCAATCACTTTTCTTTTCTTTTTTTTAGTCTATATGATAGCCATCTCCCTGGCTTATTAGCATGCTCAAAATAAGTTTGTCTAGTTGTATTCAAATTTATAATCATTCTCTCTTGTTCAATTAAATTCAGTTTATGTTTAGTTATCAGATTTTGCAATTTTGAATCCTTTGGGGTACTCTGTAATTGAGTTTCTAATTCCTTAATTTTTTGTTGTAATTTGTTTTGCTGGGCGTATTTTTCCTTATTCCTCTTGGCATTATAAGAGATTGTTATACCTCTTATTATGCCTTCATTGTATCCCAAATATTTTGTTTCACAGTTGCTCCATTATCATTTTCCCTTAAGAAATAATTTAATTCCTCCTTGAGTTTGTTGATGTGTTCTTTTTCTCTTATTAACTGAGTATTTAACGTCCATCTTTTCTTGGGTTTTTCCCTACCCTTCCATATTATCTGAATTGGATTGTGATCTGCCCATTCAATCGTTTTTATCTCATTTGCTATTTCCCCATTCATCCATGCCATATCAATTTGTGTCCATATTTAATGAGGATTTGAATAGTATGTAAATTGTTTTTTCTCGGGATATGATCTTCTCCATATATCAATCAAATGTAACTCCTGGTGGTTTGATAGAAAACTGAATAGACAGCAAAGGTTTAAATTTGCTTCCATGAGCAAAAGTTTTTGTGGGTCAATGTTTGCACTACATGTTATCTATATCTATATCTATATCTATCTATCTATCTATCTATCTATCTATCTATCTATCTATCTATCTATCTATCTATCATCTATAAAACAAATATGTGTGTGTGCATGTATGTATGTATGTATGTTTGACAATACAGGTAGTCCTCGTATTGTAATTGAGCCCAATATTTCTGTTGCTAAGCGAGATGTTTATTAAGTGAGTTTTGCCTATTTCACAACCTTTCTTGTCACAGTTGTGTCACTGCTGTTGTTAAGTTAGCTACACAGTTAAGGTCAATCTGGCTTCCCTATTGACTTTTAAAAGGGGAAAGGGGATCACAACACTCTGGGACGCTGCAACTGTCATAAGTACATGCCAGTTGCCAAGCATCTGAATTTGGATCACATGACTATAGGATGCGGCAACAGTTGTACACATGAAAAATGGTCACAAGTCCCTTTATTCAGTGCCGTTGTAACTTTAAACAAAACAAACTGTTGCAAGTCAAAGACTACCTGTACCAATGTGCTTTGTCACTGCATTTTGTAATGTTTCTCCAAGCTCCTAATCAGGTTGACAACTGTAGACCTGATTCTGTTCAACAGGCCTGACCCAAGTGCTGGTATGAGTAGCTTAACGGTCCAAACAGAGCTATGAAGGTTCAGCACCTGCAATTTACTCAATAAATCAAATGTTTATTCAGCATTCAGAACATTATAAAAATGATACTTTCCAGATTCTTCAGTAAGACAGCACAAAACATTAATTTAGAAGACCAAGAGATGGAAAAAGGCAGCTGCCTACCGTAGCACAATATACTAGAGAAATTTTTTAAATATATAT